AGAGTCCCTTGGACTGCAAGGAGATCCAACCAGTCCATCCTAAAGGAAATCAGTCCTGAATGTTCATTGGAAGGACTGATGTTGAAGCTGAAACTCCAATACTTTGGCCACCTGATGTGAAGAACTGACTCATCTGAAGACTCTGATGCTGGGAAAGATTGAAGGCAAGAGGAGAAGGGGGCAACAGAGGATCAGATGGTTGGATGGCATCACCAACTTAATGGGCATGAGTTTGAGTAAACTCCAGAAGCTGGTAATGGACAGGGAGCCCTGGTGTGCTGCAGTCCATGGGGTCGCAGAGTTGGACAAGACTGAGCAACTGAACTGAACTTTCAGTGGGAACTATGCCCTCCACACCTCTCAGTTTAGTTCAGTTCAGTCACTCAGTCATGTCCGACTCTTTGTGACCCCATGGACTACAGCACGCCAGGCCTCCCTGTCCATCGCCAACTCCCAGAGCTTGCTCAAATTCGTGTCCATCAAGTCGGTGATAAAAAGCCAGTCTAGGGTCAGTTTCCTTCTCCCTCCAGGCACAAGCTTTCATAGTGTAGCTTTCTGATCCTACCTACTGGATCTGCAGAGTAGATAACAGAGGCCAGTAGCAAGGGATATATCCAATGACATACATTGTGCCCCATTCCCTTTGGTGTGGAAAGGCTTGTGGTGACAGTACAGGGTGGGTGGGCACCCTTATAAGAAAGGCAGACAGGGAAATGGAGGACTAGACAGGTACAAAATCTCCCAAGCTCTGTGACAAAGTTCTTCATTACCCCCATTCCGCAACTAGAGAAAGAGAGGATCTTGCAGCAGGAGGGGGAAGAAGTGGGATTCAGACCAGGCTCACTGGCTCCTGAGCCTGAGCCCTAAACTGCCCTTCCCCATGTGAGTCAGGGAGAAATAGGTGCAGAGAGTCAATGTGACTTGCCCCACATCACACACTGGCTGGTGGCAGAGAGAAGATTGTGACCCAGTCCCCTGTGGTTCCTCACTGGCTCTTGCACCCCAACAGCCAGTTCCTCAGCCCCTGGGCCTGCAGCTTATGGAGTTAGCTGAATCTCAGGCTTTCTGTTCTATGTTTGGTTTCAGCTTCTGCATTTCTCCCCCAGCGCCCCAGACCACTTTCTGTTTCCTCTTCACTCCCTCAGTTTCAGATCAGTTAGGGCACTGAAAGACCTCACAAGAAAGCCCAGGCCAAGGCAGCTGGCCTCAGCCCCTCTCGTGAGAGTGAGGGGTGACTCTCACCCTGCTGACGAGACCTCCTCTGATCCCACTGTGGTCAAGGGCTGCCTCCTCCTGCAAGGGATGTTTCCGAGGCAGAGCACATGTGCTGAGGGTCTCCACTGGGCATGCCTGGTGTGTGGAGTGGGGCTGGTGTGATCTCTGCACACCCCAGGGGATGGTGGTCCTGGAAGGTGACACCTAGAGCTGTCCTTGGTGCTGAACAGAATGTGCTGGCTGAGGCCTCTGGGAGAGGCGGGGTCAGGTCACCTGCTGTGGAAGCTGAACAGCCCAACATGTGCTGAGGGTCTCCACTGGGCATGCCTGGTGTGTGGAGTGGGGCTGGTGTGATCTCTGCACACCCCAGGGGATGGTGGTCCTGGAAGGTGGCACCTAGAGCTGTCCTTGGTGCTGAACAGAATGTGCTGGCTGAGGCCTCTGGGAGAGGCGGGGTCAGGTCACCTGCTGTGGAAGCTGAACAGCCCTTCTAGGTCCGCATGATGCTGCCTCCACCATGAAGCCCACACAGGAGGCTTTGTCTGCTCTGAGTGCCCTTGGCAGAGTGTCTAGGCCCCTCTCAGGATATCTGTTGGTCATGACCTGGCATCATGGTCATTCCATGAGCTTAGCGCCAAAGACAGAAGTCTTCTGGGCAGGGATCATTCTTTAGGCTCCAGCGTCTGCTACAGGTCCCGTGCAATGCTGTGCTGTGCCACCCACACCCCTCAGGACGGAGGCACTCTTCCCCTAGCTGCTAGGGACACGGTGGCTGAGAGGTTGCTGACTGGGTCCCTCCCTGGGAACTGCCCTGTCTGCAAGAGAGCGGCCTCATATAAGGTCAAGTCCACATCCAATGACTAGTCCATGTGGGGGTACAAAAACCTAGCCCTTTGCCTCGACTGCAACAGCCAGAGGGGCCTCTAACTCCAGAACTCTCTGGAACAGGCTACGTCCTCTGGCAAATGCATGGCAGTTCAACTTTTACTTGTGCCCAGTGCTGCCTCGCTTGACCCCAAATCCTCCCCAGTAAACCTCCTGAAGCAAATCTCTTATCCCAGAGTCTATTTCCAGAGAACCCCACCTACAACAGTCACAACCTCTAACACAATCCTGGGCTTAAGAAATGCCTGCAGAGTGGATTAATGTCACACACAGACACACGCTGGAGAAGGCAATGGCACCCCACTCCAGTACTCTTGCCTGGAAAATTCCATGGACGGAGGAGCCTGGTGGGGTGCAGTCCATGGGGTCGCTAAGAGTTGGACACGACTGAGAGACTTCACTTTCACTTTTCACTTTTATGCATTGGAGAAGGAAATGGCAACCCACTCCAGTGTTCTTGCCTGGAGAATCCCAGGTACGGGGGAGCCTGGTGGGCTGCTGTCTATGGGGGTGCACAGAGTCGGACACGACTGAAGCAACTTAGCAGCAGCAGCAGCAGGCACACACAATGACTTCCAGCCTGTTTCTGTCAGAAGGAAGCCCCTGCTTTGCCCCTTGCCCATGAACTTAAAACACTTAAACCGCCCCCCCCCCCACCACCTCTCTGTGCCTCCCCTTTCTCACCTATAATATAGGAACAGAGATGGAACCTACCCCCAGTAGGCTGATAGATGATTAAATGAAATAAGTAGCAAACACACTCAGAACACTGAGCCATAGATAGGCTGACCACACAATCTGCTTTGCCTGCGATGGTCTCAACCTCTCCTATGGTCCCCTCCCTCCTACCAAAAAGATGTAATGGCATCCTCTTTCAGTTTCAGTTGTGTCCTGGTTTGAATGATAAATGGTATGGTTATCCTCCTCCTCATAGGGAGTAAGCTCTTGATAAGTATTAGCTACTATTTCTGCTGGAGGGATAGTAGGTGGAGTTCTGCAGCCCAAACAGGGCATCTGGTCCACCCACACTCACATATCTAATTACACATGTCTGGTCTCTCTCCAACACACCAACACACACACACTCATCCCTGCCCAAACCTGGTGCCCCAGACACTCTTCCAGACCCTGAGAAGCCTGTGATGTGGGCACTGTCCAGACAGGAGGTGGGGTCCAGGACAAGGACACTGCTCACTGTCAGGGTTCAAGGCGGCCCCAAGCCTGCTCCTCAGCCAGGAGATTGGGAGGACCTGGGTTTTCCAAGGGCCCAAGGGATGCCAGACAGCCCTGATGACCCTCCCCACCTCTATTAGCCCATACCTGCTCTTCTCAAACACAGTCACCAGACTGGATACAGATGCCAGAGTTTCCTCACTCGCCCCCTCCATCCTGCAGACCTCCAGGGCAGCCCTCAGCTCCCCCTGAAGCAGGGCGGGAGGTCGCCAGCCAGCACACTCAGTCACCCCCACCTGGGGTTACAGGTGGGCTCCAGCATCCTTGGAGTCCCGTCTCTCCCGAGGGCTCAGCAGACCTGCTCCCTGCTTCAGAGAGAAGAAAGAGGAAGTGGTCCCAGAGCCACAGCCCTGAAGGGGAAAGGCCAGGGCTCCCGCAGAGGGAGGAGCCTGCTTGGGCCCCTTCCTTCCCACTACGGATGCTGATCTTTGACTCCTGTAGACCCCTGGTTCCAGAAGCCACTCCAAGGGGGCAACAAGGGGCTAGAGGTGGCTTCCGGAACAGGGCTCCTGGCCTGAGACGCTCACCGCTCTGGCCAGCCACACTTTGCCTCTCACAGGGTTCCCGGGGGATTTTATTTGGTCCTTTCTCCACAACTTCTCTGCCTCTGACCCTGTTCACTGCTGTAAGAAAACAGCTTCTTTAAGTAAAAACAAATCACAAGCCTATTAGGGGCTGGCAGAGAGAAGTAATGTGCTGTTCCTTCCTCCTGCCTCCCTGCGCTTCTCTCATTTTAATAACTGCTGTCTCCGCTTTCTTGCCCCAGGGGAAGGCAACTTCCTCCCCGAAACTCTGATGTTAATAATAACGAACACACGCTCTTTCTTAGTGCTGTACAACTATTTTCTCATTTAACACCACAACAATCTTATGAGGTGGGCCCTATTACGACCTCCATTTTACAGAAGAAAAAACTGAGGCTCAGAGAGGTTAAGTAACTTGCCCAAAGTCACCCAGGAAGAAAACACAAAAAAAGAAGCCAGATTTCTAAACCAGAGGTCAGCGTCCTACAATTTCAGCAGATTTGGTTGGGAGCATGGATGACCAATTTTGCTGCTCCATCCGCGGGCTTCCCTGCTCCCAGCCCGCTGGGTGGTCTCTGCCTCTCTCCTTGATGACTTGGCCTCCCAGCCCCTCCAGAACAATAATCTCTGCTTCTCTTCCCCTTATTCAAGTCTCACAGGCCCTTCAGGGTTCTCCCACTGGGTTCTGGTCTCACTTGCCCGGAGCCAGGGCCCTCCACTGAGACTGGTCTTTGTCCTGGAGGGTAGGGACTGAGCCTCAGTCATTCTGGTACCCGAAGCGCCTTGGCAGTTTCACGCTCCAGCGCCTGTGAAACATGGGCCCCCCCCCCCCACGCCCAAGAGCTTCCCTCCCTCAGAGTTTCACCTGAGCAATTTCTTCTAGCCGATGCCTTCTCCTCTCATGCCTAAACCTCACTAACTCTCCTCACTTTCTGTTATGGAGAATTTGGAACATATGCAAAAGGAGACAGAATAATATAGCGCACCCCTATGAGCTCATAACTCAGACCCAGCAACCATCAACTCATGCTCAGCCTTGTTCCATCTACAGCCACAGTCGCCCTGCCCCTTCCCAGACCAGGTTGAAGTTAATCAGGGGATTTTACCCACAAGTATTTCGGTGTGCTTCTATGATAAAAAGTAAGGAAATATATATACTCACACACAATATATACACTGGGAATATTGCACTACACATGCACACGCACTTAACATATATTTTATGCATGTTATGCACACGTATCCCTGGAGAGGGAAATGGTAACCCACTCCAGTGTTCTTGCCTGGAGAATCCCATGGATGGAGGAGCCTGGCGGGCTACAGTCCATGGGGTCACAAAGAGTCGGACATGACTGAGGGACTTCACTTTGCTTCATGCATATGTATATGCATATGTATACATAGGAAACACTAATACTATTATATCCCAAGAGATGTGTTGCGTGCTAAGTCACTTCCGTCGTGTCTGACCCTTTGTGACCCCATGGACTTAGCCCGCCAGGCTCCTCTGTCCATGAGATTCTCTAAGCAAGTATATTGGAGTGGGTTGCCATGCCCTCCTCCAGGGATCTTCCCGACCCAGGGACTGAACCCGGGTCTCTCATGTGTCCTGTATTGGCAGGTGAGTTCTTTACCGCTAGCGCCACCTGGGAAGCCCATCCCAGAAGACAATTTGCAGTAGTTCCTCAATATAATCAAATGCCTAGTCAGCAAAGTGCCAATGCCTCACAAATGTCACCTGCTGTGAACTGACTTGTGTCCCCCCTAAATTCACATTTGGAAGCCCTAACTTCCCGGGTGGCTGAAATTGGAAAGAGGGCCTTTACCAGGTAATTAAGGTTAAATGGGGCTTCCCCGGTGGCTCAGCAGTAAAGAACATGCCTGCCAATACAAGAGACACAGGAGACTCAGGTTTGATCCCTGGGTTGGGAAGATCCCCAGAGTAGGGCATGGCAACCCACTCCAGTATTCTTGCCTGGAGAATCCCATGGACAGAGGAGCCTGGCAGGCTATAGTCCATACAGTCGCAGAGTCAGACATGACTGAAGCGACTTAGCACACGCCAAAGTTTAAAGGAGGTCCTAAGAGTGAGGTTGGAATCTGATGGGACTGGTGGCCTTTTAAGAAGGTGAGGAGCTCTCTCTCTCCCCACCCCCACTCCCCCACACAGCCCTGCACACTCCCAGGAAAGGCCACCTGAGACTAAGTGATCGTCTTGAAGCTAGAAAAACAATCCTCACCAGAAACAGAACACTGCCAGACCTTGATCTGGGACTTCAAGCCTCCAGAACTGTGAGAAATACATTTCTGTTGTTTTTAAGCTTCTCAGTCTGTGGTATTTTGTTATGGTAGCCTGAACAGACTAACTGATCATCATTTAAAAAAAAAAAAAACTAGGATCCTAATAAGGTCCACATGTTACAATGGGCTGTTGTGTCTATCAACTCTCTTTTCATGCACAGGTTCACCTCGTTCTTTCTGTTTTCTCACACCATTGGACTAGGAAGATGCTGGGTCGCTGAGCCTACAGCTCCCACGGTCTGCTGACTACAGAGCTGGCCCCTGAATCTCCTGTCCCCGTGGTTAGATCTAGGGGCTTGATGGGAAACATATGTAAATACCACTTCTTCCTGAATTCCTCCCACATTTGGGGAGGCCCCCCCTCCTTGGTGCTCCTCTCCCCTCCACAGCAGGGCCCAGTTTCCTCCTCTGCCTCCCACCAGACTGTTTGCAGGCTCCTGACAGGCAGGGCCCCGTCCCCAGCAAAGCCCAGTGTCTGGCACACAGTGGAGCCTAGGGAGGCATGCAGGAAGGACAAACGTCACACCCTGAGCCCAGAGGCTTATCTCACCCTTCAGCTGCCAGAGCCTTGGGCTTCCAGAGCAGTGGCTGAACATCTGAACCTGCCCTTCACACCAGGGTGGGGGTGGGGGGGCAGAGTGGGCCGGGGCACTGACAGGAGGCTACACTAAATTGGCCCAACTCCAAACCGGGGCCAGGCACCACCTGAGCTGCCCAAGACGGAGGATCCAAGATGCCCACATGCCCCTGCCTCCCCCAGATTTTCCAGGGCTCTGCTTCCCTGGTCCTCCCACCTCCCTGACCTCGGCCCATACCACTCTGCCAGGCTTTCTGCCTGACTTGCTTCTTGCCTGCGGGCACCACCCGAGGCTCAGCTTCTGGTCCCCTCATTTACACGCAGCCTCTACCACCCAATTTAGAATCTATCCCAGGGATCCATGGGCATCTCTCCTTGCCTCCCACCCCAGCCCGAGTACGCTCGACACCTTCAGGACATCACCAAGGGCTTGTCCCACCTTCGCTTCCAATTCAACACACAATCTGGAAAACCAGCATGGTGATCACACGGAAGACATCTCGGACTCCTTGGTGTGCTGCCAAGACCCTCCTGGTTTGGCTCTGGCTGACTTCCCAGTCATTTCTTCCTTATATGCAGGTCTCGGTCGCGACCCTGAGTGGCAGTTCTGGGCTGTGCCGGCTGAGCTAAGCTGAACCACGGTTGCAGGATTGCCTTTCCTGGAAGCTGACCATGGAGGCAGGACGGGACACGAGAACCTTGCTCACTCCTGTGGTCGGCGTGGGGCTCCACCACTGCTGCAGCTCACGCATGTTGATGGAGATCTGGGGGTTCTCTATGAGCCTCCTTCAGCTTGTCTAGTCCGGGCCCGGGTGTGTGTGTTTAGCTCCAGGACAAAGGATGCCAACTTCTCCTTTAGGTCACCTGTGTCCCTGAAGTCGCTGTCTTGGCGTGGCTGCCTGTTCATCCTCTAGAGTCTTAGCCCTTTCTCACTGGTTGTTCCTTCTTGTTCCCTGCAACTTCACATCCATCTTCCCTTCCCCACTACTTGTCCTGAGGATTTTGGACTCAGAAGCATCAATTCTTCTTCTTTTTTTAAAAATTATTTATTTGGCTGAGCCGAGTCTTAGCTGTGGCATGTGGGATCTAGTTCCCTGACCAGGGATCAAACCAGAGCAACCTCTATTGGGAATATGAAGTCTTAACCACTAGACCACCAGGGAAGTTGCAGCATCAGTGATTTAAGTAGCTGACCCCTTGTTTAAAGTCAAATTCCATATTCTGTTGATCACTTCTGGTTGATCTGCTTCTTTCATCAAATCTGACTTCAACATCTTGGGCCAGTAGTTAAACTTCACTTTCCTCATCTGTGAAATGGAGATATTTATAGTACCGATCTCCTGTGGTTGTTTGTGACTATTAAATAAGATAATACCAGGTGTAAGGGTTTAAGAGTAAGGCCTGGTACAGAGGAGGTGCTCAGTGAATGTTACTCCTGACAGAAGACCTCTTCTGTGGCTTCCCCACTCCCCTTCTGCTACTGCTGCTGCTAAGTCGCTTCAGTCGTGCCCGACTCTGTGCGAACCCATTGACGGCAGCCCACTAGGCTCCCCCGTCCCTGGGATTCTCCAGGCAAGGACACTAGAGTGGGTTGCCATTTCCTTCTCCAATGCGTGAAAGTGAAAAGTGAAAGTGAAGCTGCTCAGTCGTGTCTGACTCTTCGCCACCCCATGGACTGCAGCCTACCAGGCTCCTCCATCCATGGGATTTTCCAGGCAAGAGTACTGGAGTGAGTTGCCATTGCCTTCTCCACCCCACTCCCCTACTCTTGATTAATCTGTTCCTTTTGCCTGGAATGTCTCCACCTAGTCAATAACTTGTTTACTTCCTCCAAGAAGTCTTCCTTAATATCCACTGCTGGAATTCCCTTCCCTCCTCAGAGACCTGGTGCTCCTCTGTTCACTTTGGTCTCTTCTG